TATGTTTGACATTTCTTTAGCCAATGAACAAACCGACAAATGTATTAAATCAAATGCATGTTTATTGTGATATGAGTGAATTTCCAGTATGTTAATGATTAATGCACTGGAGGCTGATATGGAATGACCCCAGGATCTGTGAAAGAACAAAATATTAAATTCAGACACATAATTCAAGCAACTGAATTCTTTTTGTTGTAGCAGTGGCTGTTTGAGCAGCAACACTGTGTGGACAGATGTCTGTATCATGCCATTTTCCCCACCACATATTGTGCACCACATATAAGGTCCTTTAAGATACTTACATTCGCATATGTACGCCACCTCCAGGTACTTGTAAGTGCCACAGCAGGGGTCTCCAAACACTGAGTTGCTCACATTGATACTGCACCTGTTTTTCCCATTGCAGCTGTGGAGACAGAGCGACATGAGTGAACCTTTAACCTGAGGTATGAGTTGACAAAGACTGTTTGGTTTGGAGGTCTTGTGGAAAGCATCTTGCAGTTTAATATAGCTGCTTGGTATGGGAATCTGAATGTGAAGCAGAAAAACAAGCTTTCCTCAATTGTGAAAATTGCAGGGAAGGTGGTTGGTAAGCCACAACTTCAATTTGGTGAGTTGATCAATGGGGCAGTTGTCAGGAAGGTCAGACAGTTATCTGGGGATACTTCACACCCCTTACACTCACAGTTTGAACTGCTTCCATCTGGCTGCAGATTCAGAGTCCCGAGGGCGAGCCGGAACATAAATAAGAAATCTTTCATTCCACATGCCATACATGCTCTGAACATAACATGATTGTACCTGCTGTTGCTGTTTTTTTTGTTTGTTTTTTGTTTTTTTCTATTTGCACAACAACTTCACTCAACTTTACTTTTCTTTTCCTTTCTGTTGTGTATCTTGATGAGTGTTCTGGTTTTGTCTTGTGTAGTCTGGAGTCTGGAGAGGCTGAAGACAAATTTCCACTACGGTGGATAATAAAGTTTTATCTCAACTAATCTAATCATAACTGTCGTAAATTCTGCAGATTGCATTTTCTTATTTTTTAAAAGTTTTTCTTGCGTGGCATTTGCATTTATTGGACAGGATAGCTTAAGCATGAAAGGGGAGAGAGAGGAGGTGACATGCAGCATAGAGCTGTGGGCTGGAATCGAACCTGCAGCTGCTGTGGCAAGGATCTTCTCTTTATACATTGGTCGCCTGTTCTGCCCACTGAGATACTGGGCGCCCCAAAGATTGCATTTCCTTGATGCAGAACAACACACACTGTATTCCTTATATTTAGCAAAGGGTGTGCAGCTGTACCTGTCAGCAACTATGGTAGTAGGGCGTGAGCAGTTAGCTGTTAGGATCTGAGAGGTAGGCCGTCCGAAAGAGCAGGTTGTGCGGTCACGGCGTCCATAGTCAGCCCCATACACAAAGATAACCTGTCCTACATCTGTCAGAAAGAGGAGGAACAATTAGAGAGGACAGAGATGAAGTTATGAATTGACCTATGGCTAAGTCCCGCCTTCAGATGCAATGAGCCAATCACAGTGCGTATAGTAATTCCCATACACTCGGACATTCTC